TTGTTACTACTAGCGATGCACTTGTTTCTAATAGCTTCTTGTTACTAGTAGCGTGGCACCTGTTACTACTAGCGTGGCACTTGTTTGTGTAAACACCGAAGCACCGAAGCATTCTTGAGAACCCAGTGTGTGGGCCTTAGGGTACACTGGCTACATTCTTTAGGAAAGGCTTTGGCGAGCTCTGCGGTTTGCAGTTAAGTTTCCTGCGATGAAACCGGTTCGATCGAGTCATGACGGCATGTGGCATGAGAACCACTTTTTCCCGAAGGCCTTGAGCCTACGGCTCGCCCAAGCAAAAAGGGTTTGCTGCTGAGCGCGGCAACGGTTTTTGTCCGGCTTGCCCATAAGCTGGGCATCTTGTGTTTTCGTTCGAAGCCATCTACATCCTAGTGTTTGTGATTGGCATCACCCACTACCCATAGGGGGTTTAGCACTCTAGCTACCGCATTGGTAGCGGAGCGCCTGGTCGCTCCAGCGCTCTTGGTGTGGCTTTGTCAAGGTCCTGACCTTGGAGGCAGAGATCCACGACCACGAGCGGTCGGACTTCGTGGCGGTCAAGGTCGCCTCCGCAGCGGTTCAGTGTCTTCCCGCCTGTTGTTTTTGGATATCCTCCATCCGTGAGGAGGAGACTTCTTTCCTTGTCTCCTGAGAGGGAAGAACCACATCCTGAACCTCAAGGACGTCCTGACCGACCAGAACCAGATCCTGAGCCTGAGCCCGGTGACTCTCCGCGGTTACGACACCAAGGACTTGATCGTCGACAGGCTGTGGATCCGCTTCTGGCCACGCGGCTTGGGGGCTTGTGGCTATCGCCTGAACGCCGAGAATAAGATCGGCGGCCTTTCTCCATACTTCTTCGAGGATTTTGACCTGACGGTCTTCCTTGGGGAACCTTTTCCAGGACTTTGTGATCCTGATCTTCACCTTTTTCCACTTCTTTGCCAACGGCAATTTCACCATGGAGCCGAAACAAACGGCTGAAACAATACCTTCGTGGGATGGAAATCCACGGGGTTGGAGGCGCTACCAGCGAGAGGTAGCATGGTATGTCCTGGGCACCAAGAAGAACCAGCGAGCCCTCATTGGTCCACGCCTGGTGTCGAAGCTGACTGGCCCTGCCAGGTTGTTGGCAATGTCATGGAACCGAACGGACATTGCTGGTTCCAATGGAGTTCAATCCATGATGAAGAAACTGGAAGCTTCGCCACTTGTTCGAAGAAAACTCCACAACACCGCCGCTGTCATGCAGCAATATTTCACCTACAAACGCATCCAAGGTGAAAGTGTCAGTGCCTACCTCGTCAGGGAAACGCTCTTCTTTGAGGAGTTCTTGGAGTCCCTGATGGACTTGAAGGACGGCCCCTCCATGGATTTCATCTTCGACGAGCTCGACCCGAACACCGACGAGGAGGACGATGATGATGGTGGTGCTTCATCGAATGCTGGATCCAAGAAGAAGGAATCGCCTAAAGGCTATGAGAAGATTCCTCAACGAGATCCTGATGGAGGAGACCCTGATGAACCTGGTTCTCGAGCAGCTTCACGCGCAGCTCCACGAGGAGGACCGACTTCTTTGTCCACCACCGACTCCTTCATCTTGACCCAGTTGAGGGGTTGGAGATTGCTCAGCGGTGCATCCTTGAACGCTGAGGAATGGCGCTCCATATTGGCCAGCACGAAGAACCAATTGGACTATGACTCAGTGAGCTCGGCCTTGATGATCCTCTTCGATGAGCAAGCTCAACATCATCGCCATGCCCAAGCTCATGGTCCTGTGTACTCCCTTCACCATGTGGAGGAGGATGATTGGGGCTGGCAAGATGACTCCAGTTGGGATTGGTCAGATCCCTGGGCTAACATGGCCTGGGAATCCGGAGATTGGTACTATTAGAATGACGCCATTGAGGAGGCAGAATCCACACCTGCTCCTGAAGACCAAGGTGGTACCAGCGAACCTCCTCAAGAAGCTCTGGCTGCTGATCGGTCATGGTCTCAAGCCCAGAGGACAAGTCAGATGATCCGAAAGGATCGAGGGTTTGGCCAGTCTGGTCAATCTTCCTCCCATCGCGGATGCTTCAACTGCGGTGGAAACCACCTGGCTCGAGACTGCCCTGACCGACATGCACCACCTCACAAAGGAAAAGGATATGGGAAAAACATGCACATGGCCTACGACGACGGCTATGACACGATGGCCTTCACCAAGGGCAAAGGCAAGGGCAAATCATCGGGTAAGATGGCCCACCTCATGGAGGAGTTCGTGAACTACTACTACTCCAAGGGGAAGTCCAAAGGAAACCAGAAGGGTAAGTTCCAGAGCAAGAATCGCAACAATGTCAACGCCTATGCCCTGGACACCTTCGACTTCCACGGTCTTCAATTTGACCGCGAACCTCATGAGGGAGCCCTTGACCTGTCCAAGGTTGAACAGGAGAATCCTGGAAATTTGGGGATGATGGACTGCGGAGCAACCTGCTCTGCTGGTCCTGAGACCTCCATCAACCGCCTGGTGACCTCCATCCTGGCTGTGGACAAGAGCGCATCAGTCAAGATCGATGGAAAAAGACGACCAAGGTTTCGTTTCGGTTCTGGCAGCTGGGGTCGCGCCCTTTTCCACATCTCCATTTGTTCAAGCCTTACCGGAAGAACATTTGAAGCATTCACACTGCCAGATCCTCCCGAGACAAAGGAAGATTGGTTCGATTCGTCGATGCTGGTGCCAGTCCTGGTTGGCATGGATTTCATTAGGGGAAACGGTCTCATCATCGACTTCCAGGATGGTTATGCTGTTTGTGGAGCCCTTGAAGGAAGTCAACCGTTCTACCTCCCCCAGAATGCCAAACAGCACTACATGATTGACCTGGTGGACTTCCTTTGTTGTGGCAAACAATGTCATGACGGTCACCCTCAACTTCATGTGGTTCATGGTGAAGGGGAAAACCATCGTCGCGTTCACTTCGCTCACACATGTGAAGTTGAAGAGTTGTGCATGAGCCCCTTGAATGTTGAAATGGATTTGAACACAGTCACAACTCCACTTCCTTCCTCCGATCCGGAACAGCGAGCCTTCAATCGGCTGTGGACCAGAAGACTTCACTTGAATGCCGAACTGCAGCCTCAGCGAACTGGGCTCATGGGAAGTCTGACTTCCTGTCTTCGCCCGTCCAATTCGACCTCATCCTGTCATCATGGCGCCCAAGAAGACCGCGACCGAGCCCAAGTTGGATGTGGACCGCCGGATAACTGTGGACCTTCGCGATCCACGGAGCAAGGCAGCCAATTGGCCCTGCTACGCTCATCACGAGCCGGGAAATGCTCAGTCCAACAAGTTCGGCCAATGGTTCAACTGCCGGGTGTGCGGACTTCGCCTGAGCTACGTGCCCAAGGTGGGATCTCCAGCGACGCACACGGCAACTGCAAATCCTGGGAATGTGACCAAGGCTCTGAACGAGTTGAAAGACCTTCTTCCCGAGGAGTTCAAGCCGACGGAGGACATGGTCAAGGCCGCAATCGAAATGGTGGTCGCTCAAGAACGCCTAAAGACCATGGTCGACGACTTTCAGACCAAGCTCGAGGAGACCAAGAACAAGGCTGTTCGAACCTACATCACGGAGAGGATTGCCGAGACGATCATGCCGAAGGCCAAGACTGCCCCTCGAGCAACTCGTACTTCAGAAGGCTATTCCGAGGAGCCGGAACTGCAAACTCCTCAGTCCCAGGCAAGCTGGATCCAAGTGGACGAAGCTCAGCAAATGACCTTCAATCCCATGGACTACCTGACCCCGGAGGAGCTCCAGCGCATGATGAACCTGGTCAACCAACGCATGACTGCAGCCAGCTCAACTCCGATTCCGGACGAGCAGGAAGAGATGGAACCCCACTACTTCGAAAGCCAGTGAGCACACCTGAGTCCCAAGAGGACTTGCGAGAAGGGTATAAACTTCCTCTTCCAGTTGGTCAAAAGATCATGGACATGATCCACCACTTGAACACCGACCTGAGGGAATGCATGGCCACAACCATCTATGATGGACAACCCGTCGTCTGGGAGATGTTCTGCCAAAAGTCTTCCACACTTTCTGAAGCTTGCATCCGAGAAGGCATCCCAGTCCAGAGGATCAACCTGAACAACGGCTATGACCTCTACAAGGAGAAGACCTACAGCGACCTTTGGCTGCTGTTTTTGAAACAACGCCCACGGAAGATCTGGGTCAGCACTATGTGCACGCTGTTTTGTGATTGGGTTGATCTCAACTACAAGGACCGTTGGGAGACCTTGGAGAAACGTCGTCGAGGAGAACGCCAAATGTTCAAGAAACTATGTCGCTTCCTCCTGGACATCATCCACTTCGACCCCGACGTTCAGTTCTTTTGGGAATGGCCCCTTCGCTGCAGAGCTTGGAAAGAGCGCATCATCCAGGACTTCTTCGACAAGATTGGTGGCACCCTGGACTGTCGGATCGATGGTTGTCGCTATGGCCTCAAGTCTCAAAAGGGGAACTTCTTGTTGAAATCATGGAAAGTGAAAACCAATTCCCCTGAGTTCTATGCGGAGTTCCGTTTGAAGACCTGTCTCCGCAACCATGAACATGAATGGATCCATGGCATCGAAACCAACCGGTCAGCATACTACCCGGAGAACATGTGTCGCTCCATAGCCAAGCATTGGAGAAAGAACCTTCTCCCGGATCGTTGGTGGCGACTACTTTGGTCCGCCGAGATTGCTGACGACAAGGCCCTGGATTCCATCATGGTGGCGGAACCTCACCTGCCTGAGATTGGAGTTGATGAATACACACCCACCGAACCTCCAGCTCCAGGTGAATCTCGAGTAGAGGAGATCTCTGATGAACCTGAGGCACCATCTCCAGAAGAAGCCCAACGTTGGCAGGTGCAACTCCATCGAATGCACCGTGCTGCAGGACACCCATCCACCAGGAACATGATCCGCTTGGTGAAAGATGCTCAACTGGAACCATGGAAGATCAACCTCACCAAGAACTTCAAGTGTCCCATTTGCAGGGAAATGCAACCTGGAGGTGTGTCATCCAAACAGGTACCTCCTGGATCCATGCACCCAGCTCCTCAAGCCTGGGAGCAGATTGGTGTTGACGTTGGAGAGTGGACAGTTCCCAATGTCGATTTGAAGGTGAAATTCATCCTGTTCATCGACCTGGCCACTCGGTACCGTGTCACAGAGACCCTCTTCACCTACAAGCATGGAGAACTGCGAGTGGAAAACAGCGACATGGTCATCAAGACCCTGACCACACGATGGCTGATGGACAAACCTCGACCCAAGTACTTGGTGGCCGACAACGCCAAGACGCTGACATCACAAAAGGTCATGGAATTCCTGGCCGACCTTGGCATCGAGACCTACTTTCCACCTGATGGTGAATCATGGGCACATGGAATCACCGAACGTGCCATCCAACAGGTCAAAGAGACGGCCAGCCTACTTCAACAAGATCTTCCTGACCAAGATCCAGTTCTGTCCATTGCCATGGCAACCAGTGCTCTCAACAACACCGAATACCAAAAGGGATTCACAAGCATCCAATGGGCATTTGGCAAACAACACCAACTTGATGATGATGAACTTCGACAACAGCTATCGCTGCCCATTGATCGCCAACAACATGAATTCCTACGACTGATGAACCAAAGGCAGCTTGCAGAAGATCATGCCCGGAAATCTCGTGCCCGGGTGGTGTTGTCAAAGTTGAAGAACTCTTCCATCCGGCAGCCGATTCGAACCTTCTCCATGGCTCAGCCCGTCTACATCTGGCGGAAGTTCCTCCCGCACACCATCTATGCTGGTCGCAAAGGAGGACATCGCTTCGTTGGACGACCAAGATGGGTGGGTCCTGGGAGAGTTGTGTTCCACGAGCTCTTGCCCGGACGTGAAGAACAAGATCGACAACACATCGTATGGGTGATCTTGGGCAACAGGATCTACAAGACATCAGTCCACTCCGTAGTCCTGAGGATCTTGCGCAACATCTACGGCAACGCCACCGCTCCTAGAGGACTATGGGAGGACGTGGACAAGAAGCTGGTCAGCCTGGGAGGACACAAGTTGATTGGTGACAACTCCTTCTGGGTATGGACGGAGAAGAATGAAAATCCCCGCAATGCCGCGGACGCTCATCGAGTGATCGGCTTCATGGGAGGCCACGTGGACGACTTCCAGAGGGCCGGTGACTTGGACAACCCCACCTGGCTTGAAGTGCGTAAGAAGATCGATGAAGCCTACCGCTGGGGAACGAAGAAAGAGAATTCATTCCGCCTCACTGGAGTGGATCTCACCGTTCATGATCGAGGGCAGGAGCATTGGATTGAAATGAACCAAGATTTCTACTTGGAAACCATCCCGGAGGTGGCCATCCCTGGTCATCGACTTCGTGAAGCTCCTTCCACGCCTTTGACTGCCGACGAGGTGGCAGCATGCAGAGCAGCTCTTGGAGCCCTCCAGTGGGTATCTTCACAGACCCAGATCCAGGCATGCGCCCGAGTGAACTTGCTCTTGACCGAATTGACGGTCAACAGGAACATGCAGGTGGCCAAGGAGATCAATGATCTGATCAAAGAGATCCGAAGCAATCCCATGGTGATCAACATCCACCGCCTGCCACAGGTCCAACACTGGCAGGATTGCGTGATCGTGACACTTGCCGATCAGGCATGGGGAAATCGGCCACAAGGTGGATCTACAGGAGGACTCCTGACCTGCATCGGTGGCCCCGAGATGATGTTGGGAGAGGCAGGACGCCTCAATCCCATCGCTTGGAAAACATGGCGTTTGAAACGCAAAGCCATCAGCACAAATGATGGTGAAATCCAGGCGACTTTAGAGGGCGAGGACCAGCTGTTCCGCACGAGATGGATGTGGTGCCAGCTCAACGGTTGTTGCGCCATCGAGGACATCGACATCCTCCAGAAGGCCAACGAAATGGTGAAATGGGCGGGCGGAATCTTGGCTACAGATTCCAAAGGAGCCTTCGACGCCATCAACAAAAGCGAAGGACCGCTTCTCGGCTTGTCGAACATGCGAAGTGCTCTTCAAGGATACCAACTGAAGGAGCAGATCGTCGCCTCAGCTGGAAAATTGATATGGGTAAGTGGAGATTGGAATTTGGCCGATGCACTGACGAAAAAGCATCGATCCTCTCGAGAAGGCCTCCAGCAGTTCATCAAGAGCCAGATTTGGAAGCTTCGCTACGACCCTGGCTTCGTATGCTCCGAGAAGAAAGCCCGCCGCCAAGGATTGGAAGCAGTTCGCCAAATGAAGCAGCTGCAGAGCCTGATCCCTTTTGCCGGTCCTGACTCGAGAAAACTTTGGAACTGGTGCGATGAAACCGGTTCGATCGAGTCATGACGGCATGTGGCATGAGAACCACTTTTTCCCGAAGGCCTTGAGCCTACGGCTCGCCCAAGCAAAAAGGGTTTGCTGCTGAGCGCGGCAACGGTTTTTGTCCGGCTTGCCCATAAGCTGGGCATCTTGTGTTTTCGTTCGAAGCCATCTACATCCTAGTGTTTGTGATTGGCATCACCCACTACCCATAGGGGGTTTAGCACTCTAGCTACCGCATTTCCCTAATAATCTACGAGCCAAATCATGGGCAAAGTAAGCTACTAGGAGAAGTTCACACCTAGCTAGGATGCCCCGCCGCCTTTAGCTTGAAGAAGCGATCCAGCGTCCAGTTACTAGAAGCGAACTAGTCTGAGCTTGCTTCTCCCTTAATTAAGTAGGCACCTACTTAATTGAGTAATTAAGGGCGTTCTCCAAAAAAGCAAACACCTCTTCAGGTTTCTAGTTTGCACCGCGTCTCCCGTGTCTCCCGTGTCTCCATCCAGGACCGGCGACTCACTTCGTCCAAGCACCCGCTTGGGGTCTGTGACTTTGCAGCGGATGGCGGTCGGATGGGACCGGCACTGCGGCACTGGTGTGCAGTGGACCACAGTGTTCCGAGAAACTTTTCTACGTTTAAACAAGCATATTTTGAGATCAAACTTATCAAATTGACATGTTTGCATTTTTAATGGGTACGTATGTTGGAGAATCTGCCACAAAGATCTCAGATTAGTTGCTTTCTGCGAGAAGAACGCCTGACCAAAAAGGTCCATTTGAGCTTCCCTGACTGTCTTCGGTGTCATTTCAAGCGATGTCTATTCTGCGCATGTAAAGACTCACAACGCCTCAGCAGTCCCAATCGGGACACCCATGACCCTGTGGGGATTTGATTGTGCTTGAAGTCAACGCCTTTATTTTTGGCCCTTTAAACTTTGAAGGCAATGCAAGAGACCTACTAGTGATGGCATCCACCCTAGAAGCGATGGCCTCCAACCTACTAGCAAATTCGTATTTGATCGTGCTGATTTGTTCTAAGGATTTTGTTTCTCCTGCACGCTCTTTACACTGCTGCCGTCAGCCTGGCTTCGTTACAAAGTGTGCTCTGCTCTGATTGATGGATTAAGTTGGATGCAACCTAGGGCTTATCCAGTGCGGGGATTTGGATTCTTTGCCTAGAAGCAGAGTCATTTGCCAGGGCACCTTCACTGGCTACCTGTCTGGTTGGGATGCTATCCTTGACGCTTTGAACCCTCTCGGAGGAGGCCATGGCATCGGGGTCCGACTTTGCCATCCAACACATCGAATTCTTGTTTCTAATAGCGAACATTGTTCCTAATAGTACGGCCAGGAGCCCCTAGTAGCGAACATTGTTCCATCCAATGGAATTTGTAAAAGGAAGAAAGCGAGGATGGTAAAAGCAAGGTCTAAAGGTCCCAGAAAGGAACAAGGAAAAGAAGCAGAAGGAAAGGCACACATAAAGAAACAATAAAGCCTAGTTTTGCACTACCTGTATTAGTTACAAACAAGCACGCCTTTTGCAACTACCTTGTACTGGACATAGGTCTTGGATTTTGGATTCACCTACTCCTCACTCCCGCTTCTTGAGGGGCTTTCATGGTCCCGTCCGACCCATTCTGAATGTAAAGCGGTGTCCGCTAAAGCTTTTAAAGCCCTTCCAAATCGAGCCAAAGCATATTGAATTGAATCCTTTAAATGCAAACATCTACTAGCAAGAATACAAAGCTTTTGTCTCATTATTGCAACATGAGCCTTGCAAGAAGACGGTGTCATCAATTCTTGTTGCGGAAGTTGTGTGCAAGTTTTGACCCTTTGATCGCTCCTTTTGGGGAGCTATTTTTGCAACCATGCGAGCTGCGTGGGTTGAGAATCAGATCAGCCAATGGGCTCGGCAACGTGTGCATGGTCGGGGCCGTAAAGCAAGCTAATGGACGACTTAGGGTTACAAAGGCGCCCTGAAGATGAACAATCATCAACAAGAAAAAACAAGAAAGTCTAAAATTGTCTAAATGCCAAGAAGAAGCAAGAAAGGAAGAACGGTCGTCTTTTTTCATCAGACCTTTCTCCTTCTATTTTTGGTCTCTCATCCAACTTAGCCATCATCCGCTGACCAACATCACTCAACCCTTGGCAGGAGGGTTCTACTTCATGATGGGCAGGCTGGATTTGGGTTTTGATGTGCTTCAAATCGACGCCTTTATTTTTGGCCCTTTGAAGGCAATTTAAAAGTAACCTACTAGCGATGGCACAACCTACTAGCGATGGCCTCCAACCTACAAGCGATGGTCTCCAACTTAATAGCGATGGCCTCCAACGTAGAAACCCATTCCTGGTGCCACATGGTGTCCAGGTGGTCTTTCCTCCCTTACATGGTGGTCATGAACGCGATTGGTCTCAACGTGGCCTGCAGCCCAGTGAGACACCGTGAAAACCGCTCAACAAGTCCGTTCAGCGACCCACAAAGTCATCGGTTTTCGGGCCCTTCGTGCTTCTTGTTCCTGCTCCTAGTAGCGAGGCCCTTTGTTCCTAGTAGTGTCCTCTACCCCCGTGCTTCTCAGAAGGCCATTTTGGTGTGTTTCTTCGTCTTTTCCAATCATTCGCAGACTCATGGTGCTTTGCTAGGATCAAAGAGCTCAACCCCCACAACGTTGCTTTGATCAAAGATTTCTCGCAACAAGTCTTGGATGCTGGGCATTCCCCATGAAACAAGACGTAGCTCGAAGGCCCTCTTCATTTTTAACGTCTTCTTCCCCATGTACCCCGCGGACGGTGCAAAACTGTTGGCAGGAGGGCCCAGAGTGCGAGAGGAAGTTCTGGCGATCAAACGAGACATGAAAAGGATAGGGGTCACCGACAGGCATTCTTTGCATGTTGTGCGACATGGAAAGAACAATGCCAAGCGATGTCTTTCATTGCCTTGTTCATGGTGTGGGGGCTGCTCGATATCTTTTCCTCCAACCACAAAGCAAGTATTGCGGGGTGTAATCACAAGATCCCTTGCTCCGTAGATCCATAGGATATATGTTCCATTGCAGGTTTCTTTGGATATACAGCGCAGGGCCTCCGAAGGTGATAACAGCCGAAGCCGACCAACATTTGTGATTCAGTGACCACGATTGTTCTGTAAAGAGAACGAGATCAGCAAGTGTTGTGTTTGCTATGCATGAGAAGACCAGCCCAGGTTACAGGCCTCATGTTCTGCTGTGGGGTGACTCCTCGCAAGGCGAATCCCGATCAAGCCTGTCGGACATGGTTGGATTCAGTCCGAGCTAAGGAGAAGGCTTTATGTAGTAGTATTGGGTAGCCTAGTAGCCATAGTTGTAAAACACATACAGCATACACTTACGGCTACGGTGAAGGTATCGGTTTCGCCAGGCATCCATGGTCCTGATTTGTACCTCGGTGCCTTGTGGCTTGCTGATGATTGCCACTCGGCGCTTGGCATGACTCCTCACGTCCACCTTCATGTCCTCCCACTTGGGCGTCCAACAGTTGAGATTGCCCCTGTACCAGTAGCTAGAAGCTACTAGTAGCTAGAACCTACTAGTAGTGCACATGTTACTAGTAGCAATGAATGAAACTCAATGTCAAACCGCTTGGATTTTACCATTGGCTCAGCTATCCTGAGCTAATCCCGGCTCTCTGCGGCGACTTTCTGCGATCTCGCTATGCCTTCTATCCGCCATCGCCTCAGAGAGGCCTATGCCGTTTGGGGCCTCATCACAAATGGCGCTCGCGGTATCATGGGCGGCTTGAGCGGCTGGATGGGCATCATGAGCCTCATGGAGGCTCGAAGAAATGACATCAGCACGGACAAGGATCGTCAAGCTGATGCACTTGTTACTAGTAGCTTCTTGTTACTACTAGTAAGGCACTTGTTACTAGAAGCGATGCACTTGTTACTACTAGCTTCTTGTTACTACTAGAACATGTCAAGATCTCCAAGTCTCTTTACAACAGGTTTTGACTCCCATCGATCTTGCCGTCGCTACAGAACTTTCGAGAGATGTGTCCAAGTTCCAAACTGCAGGCTTTGCAAAAGACTTTGGCCGTATATTTCGTGTAGTGAATGAAAGTTTGCTCATCCTTTGGATGGCATGAATGCGGGAGTAGGATGAATCTGCAATTCACCACCTTACCTCACACGAACCAACACTTGTCTTGAGAAAGAGCGCAAGAAGCACGATATGTACATAAATACATCACAATATACGCAGAAGGAAAGAACAAAGTCCTCGCAGGCCCGTCGCATCTGGAAGCTGCGCAAGGCCAGATCCGTGGAGTTGCTGGTAGGAAAACCCTTAATTCATTCTCAAGGAAGGCTTTTTATTGACTAGAACACTGCTTGCAAGGCCTCCTCTTACTAGTAACACAAAACCAGTGGTAAACATTTTCTCCTAGACCACTTTCCAGGAGGCCCTAGGTCCAGCAGGATTTTGCATTGACGCGCTCGGGCAGAAATCAATCAGCAACAGGGCAGACAGTTCAACAATCGTGACAACGTGAAACGCAATTAGTCGAGTCCTTTTTGTGGAAGGCGATCTCTCTTAGGTTGGAGGCCATCGCTATAGGTTTGAGGCCATCGCTTGCAGATTGGAGGCCATCTCTATTAGGTTGGAGGCCATCTCAATCAGGTTGGGGGCCATTGCTAGTAGGTTGGTTTAATGGGCCGCAGAGTTTAAGCATTGGAAAGCGGTCGAGTTTGGGAGGCGCGTCAGCTCAACACACATCCTCTCTTTGAGGCAGAGATAGCCCGGAAGATTTCGTTTCAAGAAAGTATTGGGACATTTCTCAAAGATTCTCAAGGCACTTGTGTCAACGTGCAATGCTTCTTTCATATCAAGCTTGCCAACGTCTGACATACGAAGAAGGGGAATGAATGAGATTCCTCTCAGAACCTCCGATGTAATGCCCTTTGTTCCTAGTAGCTTCTTGTTACTCCTATTGGTGCTTCCCACCTCGGTCCTAGTAGCGTCCTCTTGTTCCTAGTCGTAAGGCCAGGAGCCCCTAGTAGCGAACATTGTTCCTAGTAGCTATGCCCTTTGTTCCTAGTAGCTTCTTGTTCCAGAACCTCTCAGAAGCTCCGATGCTGAAACAGTTCAATCAGAACGTCGCCACAGAACTCGGTCCAGGTGGCCAAGAGCTGGCGGAGAACCGAGCGGGACGCCTTTGGAGTGGTGCACCGCATCAATCACTCAGCGCCTCGATGTGCTTCTTGTTACTAGTAGCTTTTTGTTACTAGTAGTACGGCCAGGAGCCAGGAGCCCCTAGTAGCGTCCTTGCTCCTAGTAGCGTGGCCCTTTGCTCCTAGTAGGGTACTCTTTCCCTGAAGTTCAACAGGATCAACAGGATTCGTGATCAACTAGACTACTATGCATAACTAGACTACTCTGTTGGCCATTGTACTTGCCCAAGGGAGCCATGATCTTTGACTAGCACATCGTGCAGGATCATTGCATAGTTTGAACAACAATGCCTTTCAACTGAGGACTTCGATGATGAGCAGCCCTTGACCTCGGGCGGCTGGGGGAACTTCTGTGCCCTGCTGCGCCGAGACGAACTCTCGCAGCCGCTGACTCGTGGCCGCTCCAAGTGTTGCTGCTCGGCTGGAGTCCAAACTGTTCGACAAAGCATTCTAAAAGAAGCCCCAAATAGTAGCTTCTTGCTGCTAGTAGTAATGCCCTTAGCTACTAGTAGCGTCCTTGCTACTAGTAGCTTCTTGTGACGAACAAAAGAAACACATAATTTGAAAGCATTCTAGTTTCGTGGTAGCAAGGGGTAGCTAAGTCCAAGTGATTTCTTCCTTTGGAACAGAAATTCTCACTAACAGGACCACATTCTTGCTGTTCTTTTTTTGAACTGTTGGACTTAGACCGGACCCCTTTTTTCTTGCTTTCTATTCACTTCCTCTCTCTTCTTTTGGGAGGCAACGGTTACTGAGTTGTTCGCAGTCAAATAGTGTGCATGCAGTGCATGCAGGCTGCTGCTGCTTCTTCATGGGCGGCCCTACGGAAGCCGAAGAGGTAGAGGTCAGTTGGAAGAATGACAACCCAAAATGAAGGACGAATAAGGACTGTCTTCTTCAGCAACTGTTTCTTTCGGTCCCAGGGTCTTGGCAGCCCTGGAAGGTGGTGCCACCGAGTCTCAACACTGCTCAGCAACAAAGTCTTCGAGCACAACGAGATCAGTTTGTACAGAGGACGGGGCCGGGCTTGCTTGGTCCCCGAACCGGAACCTACCAGTGGAAGGCCAGCATGGTCGCTGTTCTGGAAGAGGGGGCGTTCTTTTATCACACTATAAGAGCAACCAAGACTTCTTGAACGGAAGGTGCAAGACTTCTTGACGCAGAAGATTTCCCTTCAGCTTGAAGAATGTGTGTGGAAATAACGAAACGGATATTCCGACACCCCGGTTTCTCAGGATGGAGCAACGTACGCAAGACGCTCCAAATGCAAGGTGAAAACATGCGAGCAATAGACTGTCCTGCTTTGTGCTCCATTGTTCACAAATGCCTAACATATGATGTGCTTCAAAGCCAAGCCAGTTCGCTGTATCGTTTTTTCCACAGATGCAACATCTCACTCAAGAAATAAACGCACAATGTGACGTCTTTCCCGGGTCCGTTACGGCTTTCCTCGCTCTCCCGAATCCGGAGTCCCTCCGTGTGCCGAGTCCAAAATCGATCCCAACGGAGTGAAGCAGAAGCTGCAGAGCTGCACTGAGACGATGAAGCGCCTCGAGGAGGTCAGACGAGGGACATCAACGGGACTTCAAAGGACTTCGTCTTGGGAAATGCCAGGGACATGAAAGCATAAACCAACACACAACTAGCGATGGCCTCCAACCCACTCGCAATGAATTCATGAAAAATAAAATGCCTGCGTGACACAGGAACGACTCTTTTGAGCACCTTTGTATACCGTGTAAATGCCATGGCGTGGCACCTTTTAAAGGGCATTCCAAGACGCCCCACTAGTGCTAGTGACGCATCATGTTGATAGTGAAGCTGTTTGAATGGTGCTCTTTGTGCTAGTTGCAAGTCTCAGTTAAGGAAGCAGGAAAGCAGGACAGTTTGCCTGAAAGACATGAAGAGTTTTGACGAAGCCCCTAAATCAGAAGACTTCTTCCAGATGTCTCTTCTACATAGGCCCTTCTCAAGACAGAATTGGGAGGTCCAATATGTCTCATGCTCCATCGACGAAGCGAACTGCCAGGTGTTTGCCACCCAGCCGCGGCCGCGGCAGGTGGGTCACTCTCTCGAGATGAGCGCGTATGAGTCATGTTGAGTCCCGTTTCAAGCAAGTTTGCATGGCGCCATGGTAAAAGTTAAGAAAGAAAACATGAAAGGAACAAAAAGATGATTGGGGAGAAAGAACCATTGAAGAGGTCCAAGGGTAAATTGTTTAAAAGCAATAACACTGCGTTTGAAGAAAGGATAAATTCCTTGTGGACATGGATCTTCGATGCATGAAGTGCCGCCATGTCAGCCTCTTCATGGAGGTCCTACATTCGCTCTCCTTGGAACTCACCGAACTGAGAGTTCTTCTGCCGGTGGAAGGCTCAGACCAACTCAGTTCCATGGGAACCTAATTGTAATGGCCTCCAATCTAATAGCGACCCCAACCTAAGAGCGAGGAACTCATCAGGATGATAGTTTATATATATATATAACCGAACAGGCGATCTTAGGTAAAATACAAGAAGACTCTTAAGAGGCACACGGAGGTTCTGATGTTGCCTTGTCCATGATGTCCAAGAAACTTCTTTTCATCTCTTTCACCTCTTTACTCATGAGATCGCTTCGACTTGACTTTATCGAAGAAACACTCTACTTGCGCAGACTGATTCTTGCTTAACAAGCCGAACAAGCCCTCTTGTTCTTTCTTTTTTCCAACACTTTTTCAGCAGAACCGGTCACGAGCCACACAGGTTGCATCTCTGATTCACTGACAGCGGATCTGGACATTTCACTCGTTACAACCGTTACACCAATGAACAGCAGTTCGGTTTAATTGAACGAGCAAGGACGCTACTAGAAAAAAGAAGCTACTGGGGCTCCTGGCATCGCTACTGGGAACAAGGACGCTACTAGGGGCTCTTGGCATCGCTACTAGGAGCGAAGGACGCTACTAGGGGCTCTTGGCATCGCTACTAGGAGCAAAGGACGCTACTAGGAACAAAAGGCACGAAGCCCTTGAGGTCACTCCGACCTTCAGCGTTCTCACAAGTGACGTCGAAGGCTTCGAAACACTATGATTTCGTCGAACACCGTGGACGCCTTCGTGGAACCGAGGTCATCGTCTCCCTACTGAACCCGGGTCTCAGAGAGCGCCATTGGCGCCTCGTCAGATGGCTCGACATTCGACGGGTGGTCTAGGAGCACGGACGCTACTAGGAACAAAGGGCATCGCTACTAGGAGCTAGAGGACGCTACTAGTTGGTACCGGTGGACCACCTAAAATCCCTCGTCTTTCTCGCCGTCCGATTGATCCAAAAAGAGACCCGACAGCAAGAGCTCACAGGTGTTCTGAGTTGCCAGTTGTTCTGAGTTGTTAGTGTGAGACAAAGGTCACTAGTAGCTTCTTGCTCCTAGTATAGTAAGGCCAGGAGCTACTAGTAGCGTCCTTGCTCCTAGTCGTAGCGATGCCCTTTGCTCCTAGTAGCTTCTTTGAAAGAAAAACAAATACACCAAAAAGGACGAGTTGCTCCTTGCGAGAGGAAGTGCTGGCCCTGGGAGAGTAGCATGCAGTACAGTTGGTTGAATCGAAATTGAGCCGTTGCAAAGCGGCGAAAAGAGTTACAAAATGCCATTTGAGGACTCTGATCGGGGAGGCCATCGATCAAAACATCCAGGCCCATCAGATGAAGGAGACTTGGGCATTTTGAGTGAACGTCACTGCCCCTTCGTTCTAGTAATCACCCTTTTAAATGTATGTTCTGTTTCTTCTTTCCCTTTTTTCTTTAGACCTTTCGACCTTTGCTCTCTTTCTTTTTCTTTGTAATCACAAGTGTTTCTGAAGTCATCCCGGGCGCCTTCTGGCGCAGCAAATGCCTGCAACCTTTGCTGATCGGTTCTGAGTGTAATACTCGCACAGGGTCGTCATGGTTTCATCGTTCTTCGTGACGGGCCTTGCTATTACCATATTCAAACAAAAGAAAAGGTCGCTAGTTAGTAGCTTCTTGCTCCTAGTAGCGATGCCAGGAGCCCCTAGTACCCCAATGAGTACCGAGAGTTGGGGTAGGAATCCAACGCGCATTCCTCAACAAAAGAATACTGATTTTGGAACTGGAGCAGTGCGGGGCTGAATTGCAAGCACATACCAAATCCAATGTTGCAGATCTAGCTGTGTAGATCTTCTCACATCCACAGGAAAACCAACACGCTCAAGGGAAACAATGCAGTCAAGAGAAGAAGCAAAAGCCAATCATGTGCCAAAGTACCGGAACAGGATCGGTTTCTTGCGGATCAGTTTCTTAACAATTGTCCGCGGAAACACCTGATGTGAAAAGGGAATTGTAGAAGACTTTGATGCAGGAGATGTATGCGCCCCCAATGCATCTGTGTACAAACAGAAACGTGCTCTCGATGGCTCAAGGTAGAACACATTCTGAAGGTAAAAGCGTGCTCACAAAGACAAAGATACGCTTAGCCGCTTAGCATATTCTAGTAGATGCACTTCTTTGGGGACAATGCAATTGCTCATTGGCAAAGTGTCACAAAGTGTCATGAACTCAAAATGGGGATGTTTGCCAGGCTGAACCTAGGTCAATGGGGCTTGAACATAGCTGGACACATCACGCTAGTGAGCTGCACATGGATGGGGAGAAGCAATCCAATGATATGCTTGTCTCCAGTTGATGCAAAATATGTTACTGTTCTTTTAAAAAACTGGTCACCTTGAGAATGGTGCTTTGCGGAGTAGAATAATGCCTGGGCGATTGCCACCAAATATACATCTTTTTTTGGCATAGTAACCGGAAACTCTGCTACCTGCCCGCCCGTGCCCGCCCCATTGTTGCAGTAGTTCAGATGCAAGAAACCTTGCCAGGACATTCGACTTTCGGAGATGAATGAGCGCTTTCCCTTCGTTGGGGGCCTTGATGACAGCTTTGGTGTCTTTTTCATCAGAAGCAATTTGGGCCATACCCAGCTGAGCCCAGCTATGTCTGTTGAGCTTCCGGCACCACACCAAGTGTTTGCGTGAAAACTTTGAGGAGCTCATGCGGAACGCATACAGACCTGACCTCCATACTTTTGGTAGAATTGGATTAGAATACTTCTCTGCTTGACGAAACAACAGATCGGTGCTCATCACCCTCTGGCACGTTCAGACTCGCTCGAGGGTCTCCACAATTGCCCAACCTTGCAGCCATGCGATCCGGTTCGAGCTAGCTGTAGCTGGCTGTAGTTGGAGAAAGCTGCAAGCCGCTGCAAGCCAAACCCAATGCGCTCTACTGCCTGGGTTCATAGGAATCCGTTTTCTTCCTGAGAAGCCCCGAATTGAGCTTGACTTGTCAAACACAATTCAGCTCACATGACCTATCTCTACGGTTGACAATTACGAACAAGAGAACTTTTTGCGAGTCTCCTTGCCAGTAGAAACAAGTGCATCGCTACTAGTAATAAGTGCCTTACTACTAGTAACAAGAAGCTATTAGTAACAAGAAGATAGCGAGCCATGTTGAGCATTCGGCAGATTTCCGGGGAAGCTTTGGCAACTTTAAGCGAGGATGAGGTCCTGGCTACTTGCCCAAAACGCTCTGCGTTCCGGTTGACCATCCCTTGCAAAGCGAGCGTTCTTGCGTGCGTGAGAGAATGGACTCAACCAATTACCCAAGAGTCCAAGAGGAAATGCCGGTTCCGTTCCCTTCGCTGTAGCGAGCGGGTATTGACTCACAGCCTTTTTGCATCTTTTTGGAAGCTGAAAGATCAGCATGTCAAAGCAAAGGTGGTGGAAAGTTCACCGCCAGTGACAACTTCCTGTTTGCCGGTCCAAGGACATTGCACGCATCCATGGCGATTCAGTGAAGGCATTGAAGATCCATTGCCAGCATTTACTCGCTTGTTCAGGTCCAGCTCCATCTACCTACAGGACGGCAACAATCTTGCTTTCCACAAATTCAAGGAAAGGAAGTTTCGATAAGCCAAAATCTGTGACATTGTGCGTTTGTATACTTTTAAGCTGCATCATGCATTTATCAGAGCACACCAGCGTTGTACTGGAGTTTGGAGAGAGTCCTCGAACAATAGAACGACAGGTTTGCAGGTTCAAAAAAGAAGAATGGACAAAAGGGAGAAAACAGAAGCCTCTCAGGATGGCCTCCAACCTACTAGCGATGGCCTCCACCTAATGTCTAAAAAAGGTCTCAAGGAGAAAAGATGTCTCTCAGATTGACTCACTGACTCAACGATTGCCTTTGGACCTCCAGGTTGCTCCTTCTACGCGAGGGGCAACTGCTGGCT